TGCTTCTCACCAAAAGAGGAGAGCAGTCCCCCTCGAAGCATCTCAATAAAGAGGTTCCCTAATCCAGCCAACCGTGTTGCACCTCACCACACAAACAGAAAGCCACCGTCCCAAGTGCCCCCTCACCTACGCACCCATGGGTGCCAACACACCTTCCCGCATGCACGGTCAGGCAGGGAGAAACTCCCGAGGTCTCCAGGAAAATCGCGGGGTCTCCCCTCTTCCTGCAGGCAGGCAATAACAAAATCCACCTTGGGTGGATCTGCAGCCAGAGCCAGCAGGGGTGGGGGTTCCGAGCTCGCTGCCGTGCAGGCGTGATGCACCAGGAGCCAGCCGGCTCAGCCCCGCGGGAACCGGCGATGCCGCTGCTCCCCGCTCCCTAAAAACAGCTGGAGCAGCAGAGACAGCCACCCCGTAGCCTACCCGGCTCCTCGAGGGGTTAATTTCGGCAATGCTTGCCATGCCAATATAGTTATTGCGACTGAATTGAATGAGATTTCAATACACGTCATTTCTTAAAGGAACATTTTTAAGCAACTCGGGCGAACCGCTTAAATCCGCCTGCTGGTAACAGGGGCCAGGTACTGCTGAGCGCCGCAATCCCGGACTGGGCAAGTGGCACGCAGAACCGGTGTCACGGTCACGCAGAAACCATCGTGTTTGAGCAGGTAACTCCTGCTGTAGCTGAGCGGCATTGGGAGCACACGGACCAGAGCCTTGCTGGCCGGAGGGCTGCAGCTGCACCCCGCATCTTTCGCGCCAGAAAAACCCCAGGGCAGCAACAAGACTGCTCTTGGTACCCCCACAGCCATCCCCAGGATGGGACAAAATCCTTGACTGGACGCTCCCGGGAGGACCCGCTGTAGGACGAGCTGCTCTGACCCCTCCAGGCCACGGCTGGCTCCCACAGAGCCTGGAGAGGATTTTTGGCAGCTGTTAATCCCTTCTGACTTCCAGCAGTATTTGACGTACCCACAGATGTTCTCACTGCCTGCGCAATTACTGAATCTCAACGATCAGAGTTACCAGGAGCACAGTTTCTCCAGATTCCTCAAGTTAAAGGCTTTTTGCCCAGGGCATTAGTCTGCTGCATCCCCAGCACAGGCTGATGCTTGCAGCTGAAAGCTTCAGCCCTTGGTGTTTCCCTTCGAAGCCACGTCAAGGCTAACGCGGTAGCAGCTCTCGACACAGAGACAAGTTTGTCCCAGAAGACAAGTACAAAAGGATGGAAGCCTGGTTTGTTTGCATCCGAGTGCGTCGTTCAGGCTGAGCCCCGGTCTTCTGCCTGAGCAGCAGCGGTCTGGGCTTCTGCAAGGTGAGCCCACGTTTCTCAGGTGACACCCGAATCCGGGGAGCAGCCCTGGAGCAGAGCCCCTGCCCTCGGTGGGGGCTGATGCACCCCACGTGCAGAGGACGGCAGTGGCGCAGGGCACGCACAGCCGGCTCCGCAGCTGCGGCATCTCCTGAGCTTCTCCATCGTCTGCTGCCCCCCGGACCTTTCGCAAGAGGTGGTTGAGAAACGCGTAGAGGAAGTTTGAAAGCACAGAAGCATCATCCGCCTCTCATCATCCGCCTCTCGCCAAGCCCCCACGGGGGGACGTGACACAGGCGGGGGACCAGGCTGCTCTGGGCAGAGGGACCAGCACCCCCAGCCACCCACCGCACAGAACCCCCGGCCCCTTTGCACGCCCAGGGTGGCCGCATTGCTAAGTGCTCGCTACACCGAGTTGGGCAAACAGAGCCTGCGCTGCCTCACCACTCGTTAGCGTGTGGCACTGCAACGCAGCAAGGGCCTTGGGAAGTGGGGGGCCAAAGCACCAGGCCTCCCCCCCACCGCAGGGGCTCCGCACCCCATGATGAACATGTTGCTCGCTGCTCCCCTCTGCAATCCTGCATAAAAGAGTCTTCTGAAGGGCGGTGACCCCCCCCGTCCCCTCGAGGGTCCCCTGCGCCGGGGAGAGCTGCCCTGCTCAGAGGGGCCAGCACCACCCCACACATCCGAGCCCAGCCCAGCCTGCGGCGAGCCCGGCGCTTCCTCTTCGTCCTCCCTCTCTCCATCTCCCCACGAGGCACGCGCCGCGCCGGAGGGGAGAGAGCCAGGGGAAGCGCCTGTTTTGGGGTCCCGGAGCTGGCCCCAACACCGGAGCGTGGTCGGGGCGAGCGGCACGGGCATTGCTCAACCCCAAAGCATGTCTTTTGGTTGCAGCAATGGGGCGTCAGAGCAACATCCGCAAAAGCACCGGGCAGTTAAACTGAGCGTGGCTGGGTTGTAGCTCACCGCAGCCTCGGCGCAAGGCTCCTGCCTTCCTGGGGTCACGGGGATTTACCTTTGCAGGCAGCAGGGCTGCCTCTCCGAGAGCCCGTGTTCGCAGCTGAGCTGCGGATGGGTCTGTACGCATCTCGCACCGCTGAGCCCGCATCACCTCCTCGCCAGGCAGCGGCGTGCAAGCGCCCTGCCTGCTCCCTGCGCCGAGGGAGCTGCAGGCAGGGCGTGCGCTGCTGCAGCGGGGCCGCTGCCGCGCGGGACTTTTCTGATGGTGCTGCCGCTCCCAGAGCGGCCCCAAGAGCAGCCGGGAAACAAAGGGCTTCGTGCTGCTGTCAGTGCTGCCTGCCAGGAGGCTTTGCTGGCAGCTCTCAGTTTCTCAGGTCGTTGCAGAAAACACTGCGTGGCTCTAGTTAGCCTCTCGGATCGGACTAAAATGTGGCTTTGGGGTATTTTTCCACGTGTTCTGTTGTGAGCCACCATGCTACTTTAGAGACTTTCACACACAGCTTTGCTCGGCCAGTGCTCTTCAGGTCACCCCGTCCAGGGTTTGCAGGAGATCTATTATACATGAGCTTCAGCCATGACATGGCGATGTTAACACCGTGCTGCCGTAACAAGACCTGCTCACACCTCCCAGCCAAGGAGCTCGAGTCCCCGTCAGACCGCCCAACTTCTCCACCTGCCTACCCTGCACCCAACAGCCCTACTCCAGGACCAGCCTGACCCACCGTGTGCTCAGAAACACCTGCAAACTCCAGCAGTGGCATGCAGAGCGATGCCCCAGCCCCCCCGCGATGGGAAAACACAAAGGGGAAGTTGATAGAAAACCCCAGAATATGCAAGTTAGAAAATGCAAAGTTCCCCCTGAATGCAGCTTCTCCTCACACCCAGCAGAAGATGTCTCTCCTCCTTCCCCTTTCTGGGTGCTCGCCCCGAGGAGCGGCAGGGCCAGGAGCCCAGCCGAGCCCCCTCCCAGCAGGTATTTGCCAGCAGCGTGCGCAAGCCCCGTACACTCACGACGTGCTTGTGCACCAGGAGCAGGATGCGGGGGGGGTCTTCGTGCTGCAAACACACGGGACACACCACGATTTGTCACTGCAAGCACTGGTTCAGCACAAACCTGCTTCTCACCTGCACGTTCACAGTGCCACCCCATGACACTATTTTCTTAGACTTAGATTTCAAGCCACCCAGAGTCAGAGCGCAATCCTTTCACCACCAAGATCAAGGGGAGTTTAGGTGCTCTGCCCCTGTAATCTGCTCTATCCTACACTCCAGAATTAGCAAAGGGTTTTAGAGCCCTGAAAATCACCACCTGACAGTTCCCATGTAGGTGGGAGCACCCTCGCAATGCGGACCCGGAGCACTTCCAGCCTGGAGAAGAGGCACGAGCACAGGTGTCGTGCTGCGCCTGGTCTGGCAGAGCGTCCCTCCCGTTATTTGGTTTAATTTGAGAGCAAAATAATCCCCGTCTCTCCCACTGCAGTGCAAGTTTTCCGTCTCGGTGACACATTTTTTTCTGTATTCCACCTTTTGAAGTATTTGATACCGAACAGATTGCAAGAGGCCGGGGTTTAATTCAGGAATGGCTGCTTGGATGCTTCCTGATAAAAATAGATTTTTTTTTTCCTTCTGAAGGAGCCGGGTAAGGAGCTCCGGGATGGCAAGGGGAGGGCTGCGTGCTCCAGAAGCAACGTGCAGCTGGTCACCGGCATCCGGAGCCCCACGGTCACTTGCTGAAGGAACTGGCCGATGGGCAAGAGAAGCCCCAAAATAATCCTGCTGGAATTTCACCTGCAGCGGGGCTGCCCGCGGGGAAAACTAACAGGTGCTGCCTATAAAAAGGGCCTGGAATCTGCAGTTCGGGGGAAGACAAGAAGAGAGACCCAGGGGTAGCTGTCGAGTGCTATGCAGATAGGGACAGTTATAGTAAAGGCTATATTTTACATACGTGACATCAGAGGAAGCCTCGGATCGCACGCAGCCATCATTTGCAAGTTTCCCTCCTACAGCGTTAGCAGAAATTCAGCTTGAAAGCCGGAGCCCCACAGCCAAACAGATTTCCTCTTTAGAGGAGGCTCTGGGAAGCGCAGCTGAAACGCGCCATCGAGAAACGCCTGCACGGAAGGGTTCTGCATGGTGCAGGTTTTGCAATGGGGCTTTGCAACTTGGCTTCCCGGCATCTCACTCCTCTTTGCCGTACAGAAAGGTCTCCTGCAGGACCTTGCCTTTTCCCCTTCGCTTCTGCAGAAGCGCTGTCGGAGCAGCCGCCCTCCCGCAGCGGCAGCCTGGGCCAGCTCTTCTGGAGTTCAGGCTTAGTTTGAGCCGTGGTCCAGGAGCGTTCACCGCAGGGTCTCCACCGCATGGAAAAAAAGAAGATCTGCATGCTCGCACCTGAAATCAGGGATGCAAGCCACCTCACAACCCAGGGCTTTCTGCCCCGGGATGGTTCTTTTCCTATGGCTGGCTTGGAGAAATTGGGTTCTCACTTCCAAGGCCACGTTTAATTAAACTCAAGAGCTTTGCTCGAGCCATTCTTTTGTGGCAGGGAATCGCAGCGGTTCACTGAGAAGCTGCGCTCACCGCCAAAGCCTTCTTGGCTTTCAGCAACCGGGATTCTTCAGCTTGGGGCCAACACTTCTCAGTTGTGATCAGGCAACTCAAAGCGAGGAGTGTTGTGCTGAAAGCATTTGCTTTCTGCTCAAGTTTGCGCTCAACTCTCTGCTCAAGTAAAGCTTCGACGGTAAATATTTCCAGTGGGCCTGGAAGAGCCCCCACACGGGACGATGTTTCACCCGTGTGGGAGCCTGGGCTGGGCTATTTGTAGCGGGATCCGGCTGGAAGGTGTGAAATTTGGACAGACCGGGCAAAAAGCTCAGCAGCAAGACGCTCCTGA